TTCAATAAAGAACTTGAAATGCTAAAGAGATCTGTGTATGGAAATTGTCCAGATTACACAGAATACAAATGAAAGATTTTTAAATGTGCACATAAATCTATGTAACATTTTTAATAAAGTATACATTCTTGTTGTGGTGGTGCCTTCAAGGCCATTCAATAGATTTTTATGGTGAGCATGCATAAAACTCTACTCTCATAATATCCTAGTCCAACACATAAACCATTACATCATATTGGCTCTCAAGGTACACACACACAAATATTAGTTTTTTAAAAAATATTCAAGCTACAAAGAACATCGCCATCTACATACTTCATGACATATACTTTAATTATTACTCAGATTATATATTTTTTCACAGTCAATTGAATTTAAACCCTGGTATATCGATACATTTTGCAAACTAATTTTGTTGAAAGTTTGTGATGAGAGATGGAAAAATCAATTAAGATATTGCATTGTCAGATGGAGCAATAACTAGCATTGCTATATATCTCAATTTGACCTACTCAAAACCCACCAGGAAACCAAAGTGGCACATTCAGGCACAAGAGCAAAACATCAACACGTTTGCAAAATTATAAAATGTAGAACAGCAAACCTTTGGAGAAATCTAATGGGGGGGACTAGTGACAACTGAGCATGCTTAGTGGCCCACTGGCCATGGAATGGTAACTGTCTATGGCGGTGGGAACTGGGGGGTTGGGAATGGACTATTCTGAAAGAGGTTGGCAGTCCAGGAATTTGAATTGAAGACAATTCACTTTAGTGTGTTCTTTCAACTTCTACTTCTTCATTTAAGTGACATCCAAAGTCACATTCAAGTTAATTAATCTCTAAACTAAACGGTACTACAACTTTGGTGGGACGTGGCTAGTTTTCATTTCTGAGAGACACAATAAGTTCTCTGACTGGACAGTATGGTAAATACAATCAATTACATTAAAATTTTGGCCATACACTTATCTGCATGATATACAGTCCAGAAACAAGACCGTAATGCCTTCATCTAAAATTCGAATTCTAAACCAATTAGTATAATTGATTCTAAATCTGTAGTGCCACAATGGAAGGTTTTTACTTCTGTTGCCTATGGTTCAATGGCTTATTAGTGGTTGCTCCCACTTTTTTTTTTTTGGTCGTGTCAGGAGTGACTTGAGAAACTGAAAGTCGCTTCTGGTGTGAGAGAATTGGCCGTCTGCAAGGACGTTGCCCAGGGGACGCCCAGATGATTTGATGTTTTTATCCTCCTTGTGGGAGGCTTCTCTCATGTCCCCGCATGAGGAGCTGGAGCTGATAGAGGGAGCTCATCCACCTCTCCCCGGATTTGAACTTGCAACCTGTCGGTTTTCAGTTCTGCCGGCACAGGGGTTTTACCCACTGCGCCACCAGGGACTCCTGGTTGCTCCCACTGAAACTTTCTTTCACAGGAAACTAGACAATCCCCCCTTCCCCAGTTTTCCTTTAGCTGGCAGATTCCTATTCAGGCAGACTTTGAACATATTAGCATGAGAGCTTGGGGGTGTGCAATTTATTCTTTCTAATCTTATATAGATTTTAAATGATGTTTTATACTGTTTTATCATTTAATTGGCCTTTTTAATTGTTTTTAGACTGGTTTTATTGAGAAGTTTTAATTTTTCAGGAAGTTGGTTTGTATTTATAGTCATTCAATTTTGGGAGGAAGGCAGCATATAAAAGCAGCATTTTTTTAAAAAAAAACTGCTACAGCTTCTAAGTAACAAAACTATGTATGTTTCCTACAAGTTTAATCACTTGTGAAATATAATGTTTTGTTCCTTAAAAAAAGGTATTTTTTTCATTATTTTTGTTCTTGTAATGGTGGCAGAAATCTAACTAAGACTATATTTTCCTCCTTGTCATGCCTTCTGTAACAAATTACTTTTGCTTGAGTAGTTTCAATAATAGCAACAACTGTGCAATAAATATATTGTAGCTTAATACAAAACAAATGCTTCCAGCTCACATATATCATTCTCTTGTTTTAGTACTGTAACTGCAGACATCCATATGCTTGGAATGATGCCATCTTTCTTAACTCTTGTCACCATATAATCATGATGGCATTTGTATGCCACTTCTCTGTCATAAAATTAAAGGTGACCCCATTTAAAACATACCAAAAATATCTTTAAGAAAATAAATGCAATGCAGCAAAAAATCGAATAAAGCCTTGAAAGACACCAATTCCAGAACCTGCTAGATTTAGGAATACATCATTTTACTCAGACTATCGCTCTTACTAGATGAAGAAACAGACCAAATTAAAACAATCATTTAATGCCTACGAAAACGCACCAAGACGACAAGATTCTGAAACTGAATAGATGACAAACTGTGACAACAACTGTTTATTCTTGTCATGAAAACCTTGATTATATTGTCCTCTGCAAAATTAAACACCTACACACCCTGATGTTTTTGCATCTTCCTCAAGGAAATAAGTCTGCTTTTAAAGCAACACCATCAGCTTCCTTCCTTTAGAACAAAAGAAACCCTGTTGTATTTTGCATGAGCAGGAAATTCATGGTAAAATACAGGTTTGCAAGAGCCAAATTAACTTAGAAAGTTAATGTATTTATAGTCATTCAATATTTATTGAATAACTTTGTATCCAACCTCAAATTAACACATTTCTATAAAAAGGAACAGCAGGTGTAGAAGCCAATAACTACTTTTTCTCAGCCAGTCATCTGTACTGCTCAGTCATCTCAAACTATCTGAAATGAGAAGTTAGTAATCCCTCATGCTATGCTGGTTCCTTATCTGTGTCCAGTGGCTACAACTACGGGTTTTCCCCCCTGAAAACTAACAAGGGAACAACAGTCAATGGATTGTGGTCTGATACTGAATCATGAGCCATCACTTTCACTAGTATTGAATTAGACAACTTTGTCAAGAATAGTGACTGATCTTAAACTCATTGGTATTACACAAAACATAAAGTAGCAAAACAGAAATGTTGACTCATTAAAATACTCCAATTAAGTGTCCATTCATGGAGAACTAAATTTAAAACTGTGTATAGGAACTATAAATTATATCAAACTCATTTCCGGAATTGAGTAACAACAATCTGTAAACAATTGAGTAACTAACAGCAGACATATAACCATTGCTGTATGTTTCCAAGCACAATCACTGTTGCATACATATTTCCAAACTACTACTTGGTGCATTATTTTCTTAGGTAATTGGTTCCAAACCGTCATTTCTGTAAACTAGCAGTTTTCAAAGTGTGTTCCACAGAGCCCTTGGGGCTCTGCAAAGCCTACTGAGGGGCTCCGCAGTTTCCTCCTCCCCCTACCCCGCCTCTCTTGCCAACAAAAGCTTTTTAACCTGACTCCCTCACTGCTAAGACCCTTTTCAACCTGTTTCCTTCAGTCCCAAAGCCTTTTTCCCCACCTCACTTGCCCCAAAAGACTTTCTCCCCATCCCATTGCCACCGAAAGCCCTTTTCCCTTGCCACGCAGATACTTCCCCCCTCGCCTTACTTGCTTTCAAAACACTATTTCCCTCCCACCTCTCAGGGGGTACTTTGATTGAACTTTGCCTGCATTGCAGAAGGGGGCTGGACTGGATGGCCCCTGCGGTTGCTATATTATTATTATTATTATTATTATTATTATTATTATTATTATTATAAGACTGGGCATGGCCATAGGCCACCTGTTGGGGGGTGCTCTGATTGCACTTTTTCTGCAAGGGGGTTGGACAGTTTGGACACTGGGATCTTCCACTGAAATACTGTTAGGTTTAGGTTGGTTAAAATTATTCTTCATTTTAAATGTTGGATTGTTCTTGCTTTCTTTCTCTTTGCAACAAACAAGTTATGTGCAGCGTGTATAGGAATTTATTCATTTTTTCCCAATTAGTTCACACAAACACTCTCCATCCATCTGCCACTGTCCTGGCCCAGCCCATCTGTCAAATTTTAAAATACAATGTGTCAAAGAGTTTGCCCATTCCTGATATATATTCATTATATATAATATACTCTATAAACATTTATTTGGGCTCCATGAGGAACTTTTACTTCAAAAAGGGCTCCACAGCTGAAAAAGTTTGAGAACCCCTGTTGTACACAAGAATGAACTGAGTAAAATTCCTCTTTTAACCAGCTGAAAGGTAACATAATTTGGAGACTAAGCAGAGACAAGTCATGTGATTGCACCAATAACTTAAAACAAAGTTTATATGCTGAAATGTAACTAAATAGTCCTTAGTATTTTGTCAAAGTAGTGAATTTGATTTGGGTTCCAGTGTCATACACTATAACAGAATGACGGCCACATAATATTACTACAGTCCGCAATGATGATTTTTACTGACAAAACAACTATGCAGTAGAGAATAATAAAATAAATAAAAGCACAGTAGTGGGCTCTCACTAATGTTAATTAGTCCAAACTAATTCTCGGCAGTTGACATCTTATATTTTAGTCTTATTTTAGATATAGCAAATGCAGAACAGTTATATGCAAACAAATAGTTGAAAGGGAATACCTGTAAACACATTTGTCATATTTGCCTGTAAGAGTGCCTGAATGTATAACTATCAATTAAGTTCTATTATATCTACACTAACTTTAGAACAAGGTTTAAGAGTGAAAGTGCTAAGATGCCAAAAATGAGACTATTGTACTTTGGACATATCACAAGAAGACATGGCTCAGCAGACAATAATGCCTGGTAAGGTAGAAGGGCAATAGGAAAAGAAAAAGACCACATTTCAAATGGATAGACTCAAACAAGGAAACCACAGCCCTGAGTCTGTAAGGATTTAGAAGAGATGTTGATGACAGGGTTAACTTGGAAGCTATCATTCATAAGGTCATCATAAGTCAAAGCTGAATTGAGGACAGCTAACAAGAATGAAAAATGGAGGTACAAAGGAAGGAAAACATCTTCACAGTTTTAAGACATAACCCATCAAAATTCCAGGTATTCCAAATTATTTCTTCTGTCACACTCACCAATGAATTGTCTGCCAGAAAGATTGAAATCTTCAATAGCAATCTGATTTATCTGCTTGCTATCTTATGAGGGAGATCTTGGCCCTGCCCCATACCTGTGGATTGTATCAGTGACTATTAAAATACCTCAATTGGAAATCAGTTTATAATGCATGCAATGGATAAGAAAAAAATGCATTATTTTTAGTAACTCATTATATCGGTTCAAGTTCTATTTGGTTGGTTCTGCGTATTAAATTGTATTCATAAGCATACAAAAAAAAACCTGACCAAGATTTAAAAACTGTTCTGCTGCATACTGTTGATACAAATAGATAGACTATGATATGTCACATAATTCTTATAAAATTATCAAGTGTTCATAATAACTCTTATAATGCCTTAACATGTACTTTTTTTCTGTAAAAATGCTTATAGAGTGTAGAAGTCACCTTAAAAGTATGTTATTAAAATAATTTTCTCAGATTTTATTAAACTCTACTTAGAATGTACTAGCGCTGTTAATTTCCCAGCATCCAACTTGAGGTCTTTGTAGGATCTGACTATAATGGCATAATTCTAACGTGCAAGATTTGCATAAGAATTAATCTGGGAACTATGAGTCTCCCAGCACATCAAGAGGAGGTTGGAGTAATTTGCATAAATATTTTCCAAAAAAAAATCTTAACAATTAGACAAGAATTTTTTTTTTCATATAACATTCTAATGCTGCAACTGTGCAGGAAAAAACAATCCCACATTCATCATTTCCTATTTCACTATCTTTCAATACAGTAAAATGATAGAAATTATTAGTTTCTTCTGATGATACAATCAACAGAATACAAAGTTTGACGAACATAAAATCAGAGCTTGGAATAACCACTTTTTAGGTAACTCACTGAATCCCTCAGGCAAAATGGTCAGTCATAATCTGAAAAGTAACTTTTTCAAAACTCCATAAAAATCATGTAGATAAGGAGTTTCTGTATATTTTACCGTTATTAATGAAGCCAACAAACTCAATATTAGAAGAGTTTTGAAGTAGTCATAAAAAAAACATGATACTGAAATCCAGTTTTAATTTGAATGTGTCTCACATCTTTTAACAGTTGCTTCAGGGTCTCAATTTGTATTACCACATGCATGAATGCACAATTTAAAAAATGTCACTGGAGACATTTGCAAGTCATTTGTGCCCCCACCCATCTTTTACACAAGCACTGCATGCAACCACAGCGCAAATCACTCTATGATTCAAGGCAGATAAGATCTGAGTCTAAAGCGTCACAGTCAGAACACTGAAGTAACCAAAATTACTTGGCAACAAGATCAGCCCCTGACCGCTGGGGATGTTGCATAGTCTAAAACACTTACCAGGTTAATTATACCATAATCTGCAGCATTTTCCCCAGGGCAAAAACTAACTTTGAAAAGTCAAGTGAAAAAGTAGCTGGACATTTAAGAGAAGATGCTGCAAGATGCAGAGCTAAGCAAAAACAGAGAAAAGTCTTTCATGACAATCCTCATTAAACAGGTAATGTCCAACACCCTTATTACACGAGTCCATTAACTCTTCCACCTCCTGCTCTTCTTCTAGCTTTCTTTCTTTAAACTCAGCACCACACCTCTAACATGACACAGAGCATATCTTGTATCTATCCTGGAATGAATTCACGTTGGCGCTTTTGAGATATCACAACTACTCTAACAAATATCTCCCCTCTTCAATCCTAAAAACTGAAGAAGAGCCCCGCTGGAGTACACAAAGGTCCATATAATTCACCCAATAGCTGACAAAATGTTGTCAAGGAGGAAAAGGACTAACCCTGTGTTGCTTTTCCTCAGCAACTAGTTACAAAACTATGATTCCATTTTAACTACATTGATTTCATTTGATGAAATTCCAGGTTTTGTAGTTTTGTCTGAGGCACTCTTGCTAAAGATTCTAGAACTTCCTAAAATGCTTATCTCAGGATTTCCCTTGATGGAGCAATGACAATTAAAGTGGAATTATAGTGCCAATGGTTCCCTACTTCTGCAAAAAATACCAAAAGGCTAGAGCTTGAATAGTTACTTTTTACACTTCTGATTTCTTGAACTCGGATTTCTTGAACAATGCTGCTAATCTGGGAGTTGTCATCCAAAGGAAAGTAACTTTCCCAAACTCTGTAACAGCCCCATCATCAAGAAATTCATCTTGGAAGTCTTCTTAAGCCCCTGCCAATTAATCCAGATTATCAAAGCAGATAATCCTCGTTGTCTGTTTTGAACTGGATTATCTGAGTCTACACTGCCGTATAATTTAGTTCACAACAGATAATATGAATTTTACATGGCAGTGTAGAAGGGAACTTAAACTAACAACTATAATTACCATATCTCCTATCACTGCAAGGACTGACTTCCAAGAAGCAAGGCATGAAAGTAACAGCAGTGGCCCTGACCTGTAATTTGTGCCTCCTCCAGCAGCACCATTACCAGCCCACCGTTGAAAAGTCACAAGGGTGGAGCATCATTTATCCTAAATGCTTAGAACCAGAAGTGTTTTGTAATTGGCATTTTTTCAGATTTTGCAATATTTGTATATATTTAATGAGATATCTTGGAGATAAGAACATGAAATACAATGGGCCATTGGTAATCACTGGGATTAGATTCCACAAAGCTCCATGTATACCAAAATCCATGGATGCTCAAATCCTCCTATAAGCAATGGTGTAGTAAAATAATGTCCTTTATATAACATTGCAAAACCAAGCTTTACTTTTTAGAATTGTCTTTAATTCAAGTCATAGATAGTTGAATCTGTGGATATAGAATTTATAGATAAAAAGCCTGACTAGACACATTAGGTTTCATATTCATCTCATATTCATAGCCTGAAAATAGTTTTATATAAAAGTTTTAATATGTTTAAATACAATTTTGTGTATGAAACCAAGTGTGTGTTCACTGAAGAATTTGAAAGCAAAGGTGTTACGATTTCAGCCACTCATATGAACAATTTTGGATCATTTCAGATTTCCTGATAAGGGACACTCAACCTTCTCAGCTAGTACCTCACCAACCGGGCATGGGCAGACTTCGGCCCTCCAGGTGTTTTGGACTTCAACTCCTTCCAACCAACCAACCAATACATACCCATCCTATCAACCAACCAACCGACACACACCCATCCTATCAACAACATATTGAACAAGCTTTCAGGATTGGAGCCTCCAGTGGTGCAATGGGTTAAACTCTTGTGCTGGCAGGACTGCTGACCGATAGGTCAGTGCTTCGAATCCAGGGAGAGCAGGTTGAGCTCCCTCTGTTAGCTCCAGATGCGGGGACATGAGAGAAACCTCCCACAAAGATGGTAAAACATCAAACACCTGGGCATCCCCTAGACAACATCCTTGCAGACAGCCAATTCTCTCACACCAGAAGCAACTTGCAATTTCTCAAGTCGCTCCTGGTACAAAAAAAAAAAAAAAAAGCTTTCAGGATGCAAAGGGATCTTTGGGACTAATCAAGAGAAATACTTCAAAGACATAATTGTGTTAGTCTGGAATCTCAGTATATAAAACAGATAACCTTTCACATGCAACTACACTGCAGAATTACCACAGTTTAACACTACTTTAACCAACAAGGTTCAATATTATAAAATCTTAGAAAGTTTGCTGTGGAACCAGAGAAGATACTTAACATCTCACAAAACTACAAATCCCAGAATCCTATAGCATAGACAGATTCCAGTTGAAGTGGTGTACTTCTGTAGTGTGGCTGCTTTAGAGACTTCTTCCCCTAAGGCATACGCTTTCATAGAACTTAGATCCCTTCACATACCAATATAAGTTGAGCATCCAAAATCCAAACTATTCCAAAATTTACCCACCCACCCAAATAAAATCCAAAATCCTTCTGGTCTCAAGCATTTTGGGGAAGGGATATACAACTTGTATTCAAACTAACACATCTGCATGTGCAAGTATACTGAAGAATTGTTTGAGACCACTTTAGCTGCCATGGCTCAATATAATGGAATCATGAAAGCTGTAATTTTACAAGGTCTTTAACATTACATGTCAAAAGATGCTGGTGCCTAATCAAACAACAAACTCCCAGAATTCCATAGTGTTGACCATGGCAGTCCAAGTGGTGCCAAACTACATTCATTCAACAGTGTGGATGCACCCTTAGTTTCAATAAGTTTAAGATGTCAGCTGCACAAAGGTCTGCCTCTGACAGCAACTGGAAATAGAGTAATTACAGGGTGCATTAATTAATGCAGTTTGACACCACTTTAATTGCCATAGCTCAATGCTGTGGAATCAAGGGAGTTGCAGTTCTACAACGTCTTTGCCCTTCTCAGCTAGTACCTCACCAAACTACAGCTGCCAGTATCCCGCAGCATTGAACCATGGCAGTTGAAGTGGCATTCATTCCACAGTGCAGATGCACCCTATGTCTTTGAAAGCTTTGAGGAATTTCTTTGTTGCTTTCTTCCCCAAGGCTAGCATGCATACGCTTCCCTACACCCATCCATACAGCACATATATCACATAGTTAAAGTGGAATCAACCTGCGTTAATTTCATAGTGCAGACACACCCGAAGTCTTCCAAAGTTTTCAAGTGCTCCTTCATTGCCATCGTCCCCCAGAGAGCATGCATACACTTCTCTACAATCCCTACATAACACACCCGTACACAATACAGTTCAGTTAGTGTCAAAATGCATTCATTCCACAGCGTGGATGCAAGGTGAATCTTTGGAAGCTGTCAGGAGTTTCTTCATTGCAGTCTTCCCCCAGGAAAACATGTATACACTTTCCGACACAACACAATCACACACAATACAGTTCAGGGAGTGTCAAAATGAATTCATTCCAGTTTGGATCCAAGCTGAAGCTTTGAAATCTTTCAACACAATAAAGCAAAAGCACTGTCAAACTGCATTCATTCCACAATGTGGAGGCACCCCGAGTATTTAAAAGCTCTCAAATGTATATAATTCCCCACATACAATACAGTGAAATTGATGTTAAACTGCATTAATCCCATAGTGTAGAGGCACCCAGATTTTTTGGCCTCTTCCACACAAGTGTATAAAATCCACATTGAACTGGATTACATGGCAGTTTGGACTCAGATAATCCTGTCAAAGCAGATATTGTGGATTATCTGCCTTTATATTCTGGGTTATATGGCTTTGTGAAAGGGCCTTAGGTGCCTTTTCCCCAAACAATGACCCTCACACACTTCCCTGCACACAATATAGTTAGGGTGGTGTCCAACTGTATTAATTCCACAGTGTAGAACAGGCATAGGCAAACTTGGGCTTTCCAAATGTTTTGGACTTCAACTCCCACAATTCCTAACAGCTTACCGGCTGTTAAGTAATTGTGGGAGTCGACGCCAAAAACACCTGGAGGGCCAAAATTTGCTCATGCCTGGTGCAGAAGCACCCCAAGTCTTTGGAAGCTTTCAAGTGTTCCTTCATTGCCCTCTTCCCCCATATACTGCACTTCCCTACACACAACAGTTAAGGTGCTGTTCAACTGCATTGATCACACACAGTGTAGAGGCACCCAGAGCCTTTAGAAGTGTTTAGTTGTCCCTTCATACCTTCTCCCCGAACATTACCCTCACACACTTCCCTACACATGATACATACATAAAGTGATGTCAAACTACATTAATTCCACAGTGTAGAGGCACCCAGAGCCTTTGGAAGCTTCTAGTTATACATTCTCCCAAACAATAATCTTTATGCACTTCCCCCCACACAATACATAGTTACGGTGATGTCCAACTGCATTAATTCCACAATGTAGAACAGACAGGGACAAACTTGGACCCTCCAGGTGTTTGGACCTCAACTCCCATGATTCTAAGCAATTATAGGAGTTGAACTCCAAAACAACAGGAGGGCACAAGTTTGCTCATGCCTACTGCAAAGGCACCCAGTCTTTGACAGCTCTTAAGTGTCCCTTTATCGTCTTCTCCCCAAACAATAATGCCCACACACTTCTCATATATTTCACTTCCCTGCACACAATTATAGTTAAGGTGATGTCAAATTGCATTAATCCCACAGTGTAGAGCAGTTGTTCTCAACCTGTAGGTCCCCAGGTGTTTTGGCCTACAACTCCCAGAAATCCCAGCCAGTTTTCCAGCTGTTAGGATTTCTGGGAGCTGAAAGCCAAAATATCTGGGGAGCCACAGGTTGAGAACCACTGGTGTAGAGGCATCCAGCGCCTTTGAAAGCTTTTAGGTGACCCTTCATCACCTTCTCCCCAAACAATAACCCTCACACACTTCACATATACTGCACTTTCCTGCACACAATATATAGTTAAGGTGATGTCCAATTGCATTAATTCCACAGTGTAGAGGCATCCAGCGCCTTTGAAAGCTTTTTGGTGTCCCCTTCACACCTTCTCCCCAAACAATAACCCTCACACACTTCTCATATACTGCACTTCCCTGCACACAATATATAGCTAAGGTGATGTCAAACTGCATTAATCCCACAGGGTAGAGGCATCCAGTGCCTTTGAAAGCTTTTAGGTGTCCCTTCATGGTGTCCCTTCATGATGTCCAACTGCATTAATTCCATAGTGCAGATGCACCCAGAGACTTTGAAAGTGTTTAGGTGTCTCCTTCATCACCTTCTTCCCAAACAATAACCCTTATGCACTTCCCTACACGCAATACATATACTGCACTTCCCTACACAGAATACATTGGACTTCCTTACACACAATACATAGTTAAGGTGATGTCCAACTTCATTAATTCCACAGAGGTACCCAGAGCCTTTGGAAACTTTTAGGTGCCCCCTTCATTGCCTTCTTCCCTCATGTATTGTACCTCCTTGAAGTGACTGGACTGACTTTGAAGGAGCTGGGGGTGGTGACGGCCGACAGGGAGCTCTGGCGTGGGCTGGTCCATGAGGTCACGAAGAGTCGGAGACGACTGAACAAATGAACAACAACAACATGCACAATATATAGCCAAGGTGATGCCAAACTGCATTAATTCCACAGAGGCACCCAGAGCCTTTGGAAACTTTTAGGTGTCCCCTTCATTGCCTTCTTCCTCCATATATTGCACTTCCCTACACACAATATATAGCTAGGATGATGTCAAACTGTATTAATTCCATAGGGTAGAAGCATCCAGTGCCTTTGAAAGCTTTTAGGTGTCCCTTCATGATGTCCAACTGCATTAATTCCATAGTGCAGATGCACCCAGAGACTTTGAAAGTGTTTAGGTGTCCCCTTCATCACCTTCTTCCCAAACAAAAACCCTTATGCACTTCCCTACACACAATATATAGTTAAGGTGATGTCCAACTCCATTAAATCCACAGAGGCATCCAGAGCCTTTGGAAACTTTTAGGTGTCCCCTTCATTGCCTTCTTCCTCCATATATTGCACTTCCCTAAAGGTTGGTAAAGGTTGTCCCCTGACATTAAGTCCAGTCATGTCTGACTCTGGGGTGTGGTGCTCATCTCAATTTCTAAGCCGAAGAGCCGGCATTGTCCATAGACACTTCCAAGGTCATGTGGCCGGCATGACTGCATGGAGCGCCGTTACCTTCCCGCCGGCGGTACCTATTGATCTAATCACATTTGCATGTTTTCGAACTGCTAGGTTGGCAGAAGCTAGGGCTGATAGCGGAAGCTCACGCCACTCCCCGGAATTGAACCTGCGACCTTTTGGTCAACAAGCTCAGCAGCTCAGCGCTTTAACCCACTGTGCCACCGGGGGCTCCTTATTGCACTTCCCTACACACACAATATATAGTTAAGGTGATGTCCAACTCAATTAATTCCACAGAGCCTTTGGAAGCTTTTTGGTGTCCCCTTCATGCCTTCTCCTCAAACATTACCCTCACACACTTCCCTACACACAATATATAGTTAAGGTGATGTCAAACTGCATTAAGTCCACAGTGTAGAGGCATCCAGGGCCTTGGAAAGCTTTCAGGTGTCCCTTCTCCCCAAACAATAACCCTTATGCACTTCATCAACCCTAATGCACTTCCCTACACACAATACCTGGTTAAGGTGATGTCTAACTGCATTAATTCCAGAGTGTAGAGCTGGCATGGGCAGACTTCGGCCCTCCAGGTGTTTTGGACTTCAACTCCCACAATTCCTAACAGCCTACCGGCTGTTAGGAATTGTGGGAGTTGAAGTCCAAAACACTTGGAGGGCTGAAGACTGCCCCTGCCTGGGTGTAGACGCACCCAGAGTCTTTGATAGCTTTTAGGTGTCCCTTCAAACGACAATTCACACAGTCTTCCCCACACACGCCTTCTTCCTGGCCCTCCCCTCCCTCCTGAGTCTCCCAAGCCCTGGCGCTGCTTGAGGCCTCCACTCAGGCGCCTTTCCCTTTCGCCCTCCCTCGCCTGAGCCCCTCTGAGGCGACTACCAGGTCTCCCCTCGGCCCTGCTTCCTCCCCTCTTCCCCTCCGTCCCTCACTCACTCAAACCCGGGGAAATTCTTGCCAGGAAGCCTGCCCGCCGCTCCTCCGTGCCTTCCCCCGCCGAGCTTTCCCTTCCTTTCCTCCTCACAGCAGAAACTTTATTGCCTCGGCCAAGCCTACAGACAGGAACTGCCTCTCCCGGCCACGGCGCATGCGCAAGGCTCCAACGCTACTGAGGCGCTCCAGAGAACTACATCTCCCAAAGAGGCAATGCGGCAGAAGGGAGTCCGACAGAGCCGGCGCCTTTGCTCCAAAGCATCTTGGGACTTGTAGTCTTCAGGCGTTTGCTGCCCTCTGGAGACTGTTGCATGCCGGGGTGAACCTGTCAGAGGTGGATCAGCAAAGCAAAGAGGAGGATGCTGTGAGGGGGCTTAGAAAAATGCATGGCCTTTCCACACAGGTATTATAACCCAGAATATCAGGATCCACAATATCTCCTTTGAACTGGATTATCTGAGTCCACACAGCCATATAAACCAGAATATCAAGGCGGATAATCCGCAATATCTGGGAGCCCCCGGTGGCGCAGTGGGTTAAATCCCTGTGCCGGCAAGACTGAAGACCAACAGGTCGCAGGTTCGAATCCGGGGAGAGGCGGATGAGCTCCCTCTATCAACTCCAGCTCTTCATACAGGGACATGAGAGAAGCCTCCCACAAGGATGATAAAAACATCAAATCATCCGGGCGTCCCCTGGGCAACGTCCTTGCAGACGGTCAATTCTCTCACCAGAAGTGACTTGCTCCTGACATGACAAAAAAAAATCCGTAATATCTGCTCAGAACTGGATTATCTGAGTCCACACAGCCATATAACCCAGAATATCAAGGCGCATAATCCACAATGTCTGCTCAAAACTGGATTAACTGGGTCCATATAGCCATATAACCCAGAATATCAAGGTGGATAATCCGCAATATATACTCTGAACTGGAGTATCTGAGTCCACACAGCCATAAACCCAGAATTTCAAGGTGGATAATCCACAATGTCTGCTCAGAACTGGATTATCTGTGTCCACATAGCCATATAACCCAGAATATCAAGGCGGATAATCCACAATATCTGCTCTGAACTGGATTATCTGAGTCCTCACAGCCATATAACCCAGAATATCAAGTCGGATAATTTACAATATCTGCATTTAACAGATTTATCAGACTCCAGACGACCATATAACCCAGAAGGAAGGCAAATGTCAAATTTAAAAAGTCCTGTTCAGGTAGCACAGTAAGAAAAATATAATCATAACAAAACAAGGAACAAAAATTCACACTTCTCTGCTTAAAATTATTTATAGGATTGTGGGATAATTTGAATTCCATCCTTTTCATTCACCTCCCTTGCATAATAGTGCCAGCCAATTCTCAGTCTTTAAGAATTTATGGGTTGTTTTTTAAAAAGAATATTGAGATTCATTAGTTGGACCTGAAGCAAAATGAATGCACTCAGAAATTAACTAATACCCCAGGAATGTAAGTGCTGAATGGAGGAACTTCTGCACAAAAATTCACCTGATTGGCCAAGCTGTCTTTATTTCATCGGAATAAGGTAGGGAAAGGGAACAAAACTGGGACCAGAAATTCTTCTCATCCTGAAATCACTTAAATATTTACCAGTAGATCTATCTTCTGTCACCTCTGGTTGCACAAAATAAAATACAGGGTGATCTGAAGGAATGAAATAAAGCAATATGAAACCAACAAATAATAGATAATGCAGAAGATTTCGTGCAGATAATTCTTTTAGCCAACTACAACAATGTAGTTATACAGATGGGGTCACATGCCTAACCTGACAATCAGATGGTTATATATTTAGGAAGCAGGTGATTGTTTTGTGTGTGTGCCTTCAAGTTAACTGCTTATGGCAACCCTATGACTTCTGTAGAGTTTTCTTAGGTAAGGAATATTCAGAGGTGGCTTTGTCAGTTCCTTCCTCTGAAACATAGCCTACAGCACTGGATATTTGTTGGTGGTCTCCTATGCAAGTACACCTGACACTACTTATCTTTCAAGATCTGATGAAATCTAGTGGCTTTAAGGCACTTAGGCCCATAACTATCATTACGGAGGAGCAATTAATAGGGAGCTTGAGGGCCTTTAGTACTCTAGACACCAACGAGGTCTATAGGAGAGAAACAAAGGCAGGGCCCTCCATATCCGTAGTCCATAGTTCTAAATTCAACCTCAATTTTAGAAAGTCTTAGGGCTTCTCTTTCAAAAACTGCAGGCGTCTCACCAAACTACGAATTTGAGGATTCCATAGGTCTGAGTCATTGTCATTCAAGTGATGTCAAACTGCATTAATTCTACAGTTTAATTCTACAGTTGGTCAAGTTGATCAGAAAACACAGAGGATACTAAATACTTTAAACACTTTTTTTTAAGTGGACACAATTGACTTATGTTAAGAGTATGCTTTTTTTTTTCTTGCTGAAGTGGATGCAACATATTTGTTACCAACTACAGAATTATTATTTTTTTAGTAAATGTATTTTTAGCATTTTCTTTTTCTGCATTTTAATATGCAAGGCTAACAAATTCAGACATTACCTCAAATATTTTGGAAATTTTGAGATACTTCAAATGATTCTTTCCAACAATAATTTCTGTTGGCATCATAAAAATAGTTCTACAACAATTAACTTTTATTTTATTTCCTTTGGAATATTTAATATATTACAGGGTGCAGTAATTTTAAAAGGACCTTCCCTACTACACTTAAAATAGGAAAATATATAAAAGGCCTCCTCAGTATTCAGATCTTGCATGTAAATACATCTTTGTGGCAGTCAGGCATTCAGTAACGAGATTTTATGTGAAACAAAAACTGCAACCAGAAAGTAATAATGAATGATGGAGTCAGTGGTGAACAATGAGTTGCAATTACCATGGCAACACTTTCTACCAAACCCACAAAGGGTCACATAATTTGTTTCTGTGTGGGCCAGCAGATTTCAATGGTTTCACAATTATTCATACATTTTAAGTGATCTTTCAGTTACAGTCCCATAGTCAGACAGTCTAGCAGTATGTTATGATTCACGAAACAAGGACAGAACTTTCAACCTACAGTAATTGTAATAATTACTCCAGTGCTAGCAAAACCAATATTGATTCTTCATAAAGAATTAGGTTCTGGTACTATCAAAGATCCAAAAAAGCGCCTAATAACATTTTATTAGTGGATAGACACCAGGCATTATTGCTGTTGCCATCTTGGATCCACAAAGTGCACAACTGTTGGCACATTACCATTTTTGGGGTGCAAATGAAGGCAGCAGCAAGCATTTATTCTACATTGTAAAACAGGCCTATGCGGCCTGGGGACCGAATGCAGCCCTCGCAAGGATTTAGTGCAGCCCACAGAGGCTCTGAGGCCAAGCCTTAGAGAAGGAGATCACATGCAATGCAACCCCAAGTGTTTTCCATTTCCTTGTTTCCTTTTTGCATGGAAGTTACCAAACTGTCCTGTGGCAACAGGGGCACCACCAATAGATTCATCCAGGTTGCTGAAAGTGCTAGTCTTTGTTAGGAACATGTCCTGGGGAGGTTGTAGGGTAACAGGTTGGAGTAGTGGAGAGCAGGGATGAAATTTTATGGGGTATTGGACCCTTATTCAGGGAGGCTAGACTCTTGGGCTGCAGGTTAGGCAAAAATTCAACATTAGATTGGATGTTTTAGAGGGAGAAGGAGGTGATGAAGAAGAGCCTCAGTTCTTGCCTCTGCTGCTCTTCTTCTTTGCCTCTGGCATCTTCTCATCCAGCGGCTCCCAATGTCACACCATTCACTTGCTTCTCCTTTTTCTTGCTGCTCTTGGCTACCCCACTCTTCCTTTTTCTTTGCCTCTGGGTTGCCTCTGTCATCTCCTCCTCCTCCTCCAATAGAAAAATCACCAACTCTATGCTGTTCATTTCCTTCAGTTCTGAGGGATAAACGTAACTTCACCATGAAGTTGTTGTGGGGTCTTCATAATGAAGCTAAGTTTCTCCCTCACAAATTAGGAAAATGAACAAAGTTGGTGGTTTTCTTCTCCAGTGGAGGGTGCTCCACTGGCACTTCTTTCCCTTAGAAAAAAGACTACAACTTGCCAACACACGGGGGGTGGGGTGGGGAGGTAGGGATATCAAGACTAATTCACTTTGCCGTTTGCTCTGAGGGAAAGGCACCCCCTCAGAAGCCTGGAGTGAGACACAAAAACACCTATCTGCGGTCTACAAAGGTTTAGCCTTTATAATTTGAACCCCTTATACTGACAAGGTGTGTAGGCCTGGTATAGATGCACCCTTGGCCACTTTGGACCAAGTGTAGCTCTGCAGACACAGTTGGGCTGTAGCTCATCATTTGCCATACCAGCTAGAATAGAAACTGCAGTCCAACAACACCTAGTAAATTAATCGTTACCAAACCATTTCCTAGAGGATGAAGCCATACCTCTTTGACTGAGACGACTGATGTCATTAATAGAGGCTCAAAACTACTGTAAGAAATGACTGGCTGCAAGTGTGTCTGCTAGACTATTTCTTCTTAAACTGTGGGCCCAAACCCCAAATGAAGTCCCTTTAGCTCTGTATTGGGGCCCTGAAACATTTGGGAAGAGTAAAAGTTATCTGAATGTCATCTGATGGCTGTTTTAGATGATTTCCATGAATCTGTTGTGCAGTGTTTACAATGGACTCTGCAGAAGATGCTTTAGCTGTACTTCATTAAAAGGGAAATCAGCTTGTTTAGCAAGCCTAGCAAATGCTGATTTCTTATCAGTAAATGTTTGATTTTTATATCTATTTTATATACTTTTATTCCAGGGTCACATATAATTTCTTGGGCCAAAGGGGATCTTGAATGGAAATATCTACAAAGCCCTGTGCTTAGTGAAACTTTACAAATGTTAGATTTTTGTTTGTTTTTCTTTCAGGCCACAAGTGACTAGATTATATTATGATCTGACTGGTACTTACTGGCTTGTTGCTTTTAAAATATCCATATTTTAATTGAATATTACATTATATTTAGCTTTTAATGGTGGTGGCCTTCATTGTTGCTGTAATCTACCAGTGATAGGAAAATCATAGCAGCATATTGACTGTTCACTTTGTCATAAGTCAGAAATGATTTGAAGGCACACAACAATTTACTGTAGGGACCCGTTCAGCATGT